CAGCCATGCCTAGTTAAACCAGGTTGTGCTGAAGTATTGAACACCTCTGGCTGACATATGTTGGTAAGCCATGATGCACTTTGCATACATATTACTCCTGTCTGCAGTGAGCACATACAAAACATGTAACATATTTTTTGGGTTCAGCTTCAGTTTGCACCCCGAAAACGTGCAACCTTTGACCTCTCCTAGAAATGTTGTTTTAATCCTAAAAAGGGAAAGTATTAGCATGCTGTAGCAGAGCCTTTATGTAACCAGCACCCCTTGGGATCACACTCAAACAACCCCTTCTTATGCAGTTAATTTAAGGTGGAATTACACATAACACCGGTGGGAATGGTATGGCGCACCTTGAACTATTTACCATATCATTGGATTTTTTCTCTCTCATGTAAATACACTTACAAATTGACAGTCTTCAATTTACAGCTGAGGGAAAAAAAGCAAAGGACCTCCTTATGTGGCGTATCATCTTGACTGCAGTTAGGTCAATTTCCTTAGCAGGGTGGACACGTTTATATAGCCAGCCCCCTGGGAGGCTGTTTGTGTGAACGATGTGGAGAATACGCATTATTCATGTTCTCCGCTCCCCAGATAAAGACTGTATCTCGCAGCGTAGCCCAGCTTTGCATCACGTTACGCCTAAGCATTGGAGCTATTGATGTTTGAAATGGCAGTATGATGGGAAAATACAAAAATGATAGAACCGCCTTCAGTATTTCACTGGAAACCCAAGGGTGTTCCTGTGGTTTATGTTTGAAAACTCAGCGATTGTTTACTCCCCACTCCCCAATGTCATGTCTGTTTTCTTGACTCATTGTGTTTAGTCTGTCGCAGTCATCTCTAAACTCTGCTGTATGGTTCATACATCAAACATTTAATCAGATGTGGTCTCGCTCTAAACAAGCGATGTGGCTACGAGGATTTTGTACACAAGGAAATTGTAAGACTTGTTTTTCTAATTGCTCTGAAAGCATCACCTAAGCAATACAAAATGGCTGCCTGTCTGGAAAGATGAATAGTGAAAGATAGATAGTTTCTTTTATTTTCATGCATCCCTTTGAGGAAGCAGTTCAAGTTCCCTCAGAAACAACTTTCACTGCTCATCTTGCTTTAATACTGTATGGCTAACTACAACCATGTGTGGACAGTGTTCCTTCTTTTGCTTTTATCAAGTTGGCATTTAGACCCTAACTGCCTCTTTTCAACTCCAGCAACATTTGTGGTCAACAATCTCATTTAACAAAATCCAGCACTTGCTCGCAGCTTTTTTTTCCTTTGTCTTTTTCTTTTAAAGCGATTGATATAAACAGCTTGCACCTGGAATGTCACAAGTGAAGAATGCCAAAAAAATGTATGCCACTTTCAAGTTTATTAGATTGCAGAGATGACATGCTGTTGTCTGCTCAACAGATGAGACAGAGAGGGAGAAAAAAGAAACAAACATTTTGATGACTTAACCCAGTGATTCCCAACAAGGAGTACTTGTACCCTAGGGGGGTTTTCTCTAGTTGCCAGGGGATACGTGTAAAGATTGTAGAGTAGCTTAATGAATTTTGAAACCTAGGAATTATGTTTTGATTAGAAAATTATATATCCACATAGAGTAACTTTAATTGTAACACCTGAGCACTATGTTTAGTGATTGCGAGTGTGGGCAATTAGTCGGCAAGCAAGCAGAGAGGTCTTAACCGGTTGATAAAAGTAATGGATGTTAAAATATTCAGCTAAAATAATATATGTTTGGGGTGGGGGCGCCATCTTCTGTTACCTGTGCCTGCTACAGTTGTCAACCAACAATATGTGGACAAACTTACCATGATAAACTAAATATATCCATATGACTTGGTATCAGAAGACTGTATGCACTACCTTTACTATGCCTGGATATTATAAATAACTTTATTTTGGGACTGGGGGCATGCAATTCGCTTGAAACCATATGTTACAAATCCCTGGAAGCTCACGAATAGTTTAGCAGTGGCTGGATGCAAGATTTTTCAGTTCACATGCCGGCACACTGCAAAGGTAAGGTAGCACTCCTTGTTTTGGCCCAATTAGCCTACTAAACCAAACAAAATACAAAAGGTAAGCAGCAGGTAACCTTCACATTCCCAATAGGTAAATGGTGAGAATAGTTACTTAAATGTAATAGATAACTGGTTAGAACTGTTAGCTAAAAGTAATGAATAAATGGTTGCATTATATAGCTAGAAGTTATGAATAAACTTTTAAAATCAGCTAAAGGTAGGCTAATGGATAAATGGTTGAAAAGGGTAAGGGTTATTAATAAACTGTTAAAATTAGCTAAATGAATAAGCAGCTAAAAAAAAGCTATCTTAAAATGATGAATAAACTATTAAAATGAGCTAAATGCATCAGGTAATTGTTATAATAGTTATCTTAAAGTAACGAATAAACTTAAAATCAGCTAAAAGTAATGGATAAGCAGTTGAGATAGTCAGCTAAAAGTAAGAATACCTGGTTAAAACTGTTAGCTAAAAGTAATGAATAAACTGTTAAAATTAGCTAAAAGTAGGCTAATGGTGGGGCATCGGTGGCTTAGTGGTAGAGCAGGCGCCCCATGTACAAGGCTGTTGCCGCAGCGGCCCAGGTTTGACTCCAGCCTGTGGCCCTTTGCTGCATATCTCTCCCTTTCTCTCTCTCCCCCTTTCACACTTCACTATCCTATCAATTAAAGGCAAAAATGCCCATAAAAAGTATCTTAAAAAAAATAAAATAAAATAAAAGTAGGCTAATGGATACATGGTTTTAATTGTTAGGTAAGGCTTATATAAACTGTTAAAATTAGCTAGAATTAGGCTAATGGATAAAGGGTTTTAATATTTAGGTAACGTTAAGGCTTATATAAACTGTTAAAGTTAGCTAAAAGTAGGCTAATGGATACATGGTTTTAATAGTTAGGTAAGGCTTATATAAACTGTTAAAGTTAGCTAGAATTAGGCTAATGGATAAAGGGTTTTAATATTTAGGTAACGTTAAGGCTTATATAAACTGTTAAAGTTAGCTAAAAGTAGGCTAATGGATACATGGTTTTAATAGTTAGGTAAGGCTTATATAAACTGTTAAAGTTAGCTAAAAGTAGGCTAATAGATACATGGTTTCCATAGTTAGGTGAGGCATATAATAAACTGTTATAAACTAGCTAAAATTAGGCTAATGGATACATGGTTTTCATAGTTAGGTAAGGCTTATAATAAACTGTTTAAATTAGCTAAAAGTAGGCTAATGGATACATGGTTTTCATAGTTAGGTAAGGCTTATACTAAACAGTTTAAATTAGCTCAAAGTAGGCTAATGGATACATGGTTTTAATAGTTAGGTAAGGCTTATTAATAAACTGTTAAAATTAGCTAAAGTAGGCTAATGGATATATGGTTTTAATAGTTAGGTAAGGCTTATTAATAAACTGTTAAAATTAGCTAAAAGTAGGCTAATGGATATATGGTTTTTTTGAATAAATGGTTGAATGTGTTTGCTAAAGTCCCAACCGCAGTTTGACAGGGGAGATGACTAGAGCTTCCAAAGCGTACATTTCGACTTAATTTAGACTTCTCACACTCACTGTGGTCGATATGAAATGATGATTATGTTATCACAAGTTGTTAAATATATTAACTTTTGTTGAAGAAATGCTTCAGAATGGGCACTTTTAACATCAATGCCAGGCACTGACCGTTTGACGGTACTTTCAGACTGCAGCTGCAAGTTTTCGAGTTGTTTTTGGTTTGTCTCTTTAATCAAATTTATGAGACTATTATACAGCAAGTTTACAAACTTAAACTGCAGCTGCAAGTTTTCAAGTTGTTTTTGGTTTGTCTCTTTAATCAACTTTATGAGACTATTATACAGCTTAAGTTTTAAGTTTACAAACTTAAACTGCGACTTCAAGTTTGTCAAAACAGACGCTGTTTTGCAACTCAGATTTTATACATAATTGGTAACGCTTCATTTAAAATAAATAATAGTAACAGCAGTAAATAATTTAAGGTGGAGTTACACATAACAGTGGTGGGAATGGTATGGTGCAGCTTGAACTATTTACCATGTCACTGGATTTTTTTTGTCTCATGTAAATACACATACACATTGACAGTCTTCAATTTGCAGTTGAGAAGGAAAAAAAAGACAAGGACCTCGTCATGTGGCGTATCATCTTGACTGCAGGTCAATATCCTTAGCAGGGTGGACACATTTATACTGTATAGCCAGCCCCCTGGGAGGCTGTTTGTGTGAACGATGTGGAGAATACACATTATTCATGACCTCCACTTCCCAGATAAAGACTCTTCCTCGCAGCGTAGCCCAGCCTAGCATCATGTTATACCTAAAGATCAAAGCTATTGATGTTTAAAATGACAGTATATGATAGAATTGCCTTCAGTATTTCACTGAGTTGAATAAATGGTTGACATTTTTAGCTAAAAATGATGACTAAATTGTTAAAATCAGCTAAAAGTACTGGATAACTTATGTTAGCTAAAAGTAAAAGTTAGAAAAGTAGCTTCTGAGAAAGGACATTAGCAGATTGTGATGCTAACATAAGTATTTCAGCATGCTACGTCAGCAGTATTCCAATGGAGACTCACAGGAATTTGCTTATTCTGTCCTGTGTTAGCTGGAAATATGCCATGTTGATTTAGTAATAAAAAGGTTGATCCTCAGAGTCATTAGGATCCGCTCTCTGGAGACCACAAATGTCTGTGTTCATTATCTATGTTCACAGCTGCTCTTCAACTGTACCTGTGTAACCTCTCCTAATGGATTTTGTATTGACTAATTTGTGGTGCTTATGAAATGCAATTTCTCCTCACTCCTCCTACACATGTTGTAATGTGGCAAGTGTTGATAAACCTGTGGTCTGCCCATGTTACAGCTGGTTGTATCTGGTGTTTACACTGAGCCTCTATCAGCAGGTCTGGTCTAATTCACTCTGTGGTTAATGCTTTCATAACAACTCTTGTTCTTATTTATTTTAGGTTTGAAGAAATCGTCAAGAGGAACAAAGTTGAGTACCACGCTGGCGGTTCGACCCAGAACTCTGTGAAAATTGCTCAGGTTAGTCTTCTCTGGCACTCTGCTGTGTGCCTGAGTGTGTTTTGAATATACAGTGATATGCTTGTAACCTGAGGTCTGTCAGCCTGGGAATACAGAGCATAGCTGCACAGCATGTTGACATATTACAGTTCTAGGTGTTGTGAATTCATAAGACCTGCCATGGAAAGAGAAAGGCGGGGAGGATTCATAATATTTGCAGTGTTATCTAGTTGGCCTAATTTCCTGAGACATATCAAACATCAATTAGAGAGAATTACAAGTAGATGCAATTAACGTGTCACAACAAATTATATCAAACAAATGCTGATCTTCTCTCTGGCTGTTCGACAGATTTGAGCATCTAAAAGAAATCGGTGATTGTCCAAATCTAAAATGGCAATCTGAACTTGAGAAGATTATTCACTGAATCTCTCTCTTCTCTTTTTTTTTTTAAGTGACTGCAGTGAGTCTGTGAATTTGACATGCAGTGATTAGCCGCTGATAAGGCTTTGGTCTGCTCACAATAAACAAAGAAAAAGCACCCAGCTGAAAAATAATTCTCTTCCAAGGAGAAATGAGTGCAGAAGCTAATTGAGAGGCTGATGTTTGTGAAAGCGCCATCTCTTTCTTGTGTGTGGAGTGTTTCTTTTTTTTTGTTGTTGTTTGTACGTGTCAGTACAGTGTGTAGAGTTCGTATTTGTTCACATGTGCTTGTGTGCGTGCGTTTTTTTTAATGTGTGTTTTTGTGTGTATTTGGCACAAGATAGATACAGAGAGAGGGAAAAGAAAGCAGGCAGGCCCTCAGGCTGCCACCATCTCCGTGCATCCTTTAAAAAGAGACGCAGAGCTGTGCACCTCCATACAAACACTCTTTAATTATCAAGATCAGAAGCGTTTACATAAACCTCAGTCACTCACAGGCATTAGCTGCCAACTTGATTTTATTCTTTGGGCAACAACTCCCCATTTTTTTTTATTTTTTTTTTAATCGTGTGCTAGATGCAGTTGGATTTTAAAAACTGGTGGGCTCACTTTTTCCACTTACAACCTTGAAAATTGTAATTACAGAATTTTCAGCAGAGATTATTTCCTCGTTTCTTGTCATTACACCAGCTAAAGCCACAGACTTAGCTTGGTCTGCCTCAGTTAAGACATAGACCTTGACAAAGGATTTTTCATGTGTTATTTAAGAAGACACTGAAGGAAGTGCCCTAAGGTGCGTATCCACTCCTTTGTGAAATCAGATGGAGAGGGAGATTTTTATTGCAGGCCCTCGCTGGAGAAAGAGCCGTCATGGCCTCTGTGCCCCGTGAGAAGCGTTCAGTCAACTAAATTGGTCTTATAATGGCATGGCAGACCCCAGTCAAATGTTATTCTACTCTGTTTATTTGGATATTTACCCTCTTCAGAGAGAAGATGTAGAGCTGATTCTGAAATGCTCATGATAACAAGAGTGTTTTCGTCCCACACCCAGAAGTCTCAGAAACAGTTTCTGTCAATATATACCTTGAAGCGCTGACTTTTCCACATTCCACTTTCAGGTGATGGTGTTCTTTTATGAAAAATGTATAATGCATAACCGGCTCCCAGATTATCACATTGTAGCACTTGCAATATGTGAAACTTCAAACCCTGCTGTATTGTGGAAGCTGAACCTTCAAACACGAATGATATGCACTGCAGCACTGAATCCACATCAAAGGGCCCAGTGACTAAATGAGATGCTCGATCCAGGGCAGGTTTGCTCAGGAGCACCACCGCTGCTGGAGGAGAGAGAGGAGTGTTCAGAGGCTTTGCACAGGAATCGCTGCACACGCTGGGAAAACCCAGGGTGTGGGAGGATCAATGCCTTTGCCAGTAGAACTCGTACTTTCCTCCAAAACCTAACCGCTTCATCGGAGGCTGTAATAGGTTAAATACTGCCGCTTCATCTGAGTTAAGATTTCTGCACTATCAAGGAAAACCTAAACCTTGGCTTTAAGAAGATGCAGAATCGATGGTAATTGGATTTAGTCAAATGAACATTGACCAAACTGAAGCTTAGATGGATAAGTATTGTTTACCTTTAACTACCGTCTCTGCCCCACTCTTTGATCGAAATCAGCTGTTGCAGTGTTTGCTAGCCGTCGATTGGATGCACTCAGTGCTATCTTTAGCTCTGGGACATTACTTTTTTCCATGCATTACGCCTCTAATTATCAATATTCAAAGCACACATCATGACAAACTCAAAAGTCCCAAGGTGGACGTATCGACACATTTGTACTTCCTTATCTGCGCCCCAGTGCTCCTAAATAAGCCTTAGATTTTGTTTGGATTGAGTCAGTGAAGTTGCAAGCTTGTATGCAGAGCTGTCTGGCTCTGATTCTTAAGAAGAAGAAAAAAACGCAACGATAGAAGTGGGTTGGAGCTTGTTGCCTTTGCCCAGGCTCTAACAAACACCATGCCCTGAAGGGGCATCCGACATAAAGGCTCACCTACTGGATGTTGCAGGGCTGTAAGGTAACAAAAACCAGCCCGGCGTTGCTCACTCACATACAGCCTCACACATCAAAGGGCTTCTCCTTAGATAGGGCACGGCGGGAAACAACAGTCATATTTTTTTTTCAGTCATTTACAAAGTTGAAGGGGAGGGAGAAAAAAAATTGTGGCCTTTCTGAGCATGTGATCCAGAATTTGGTACCGCCGCCGAGCACGCATGGTGTTTATCACAGGTGACAGAGTCGGTGGGGCGAGTCGGTTGACTGGAGGGCTGTATCAAGAAGCACAGTCAATTCATTTAGACAGAACATCAAAGTCCTCCAACAGCTCCTTAGGGCCAAGAGATTGAAGTCTGAGCAGAGACAGGCTCATAGGGAGTTATTGCTGCTGCCAGGGAAGTAGATCCTACTCAGAGTGCCTCGTGCAAACCGTGCATTCTCATTATGGTCGTCACAAATCAACAACATTGACACATTTTATTTCTTTGCACTGTAAGCAGGCTTCATACCCATTCACCGACGGGACAAATTGCTACGTCTAAGTGCCCGAACTGTGAACGTGTCACACAGAGTTATGATTAAGTATGTCCCCTTTTTCTTTATTTAGGTTATGTTCTTTGTTTGCAGTCTGTATCATCAATTCACTGTGATGTCTTAATTATTGTTTAGAAAGTAAAGGCTTTTGAAAAATCTGCTGTCTCTGTTTTGGTTATGATGCCTGTTTAACATTTCCTCAGACTTGGTCAATCGTGGAAGGGGTGAATGGGGCCCAGGCTTGGATGTTGGCTCTGAGCTCTTAATTGGAAACGCATGTGCACCACACTGTTGGAAGTTGTATTTAAAAAACAGAACAATCCCACAGCACTACTTGACTTTGAAAAAAAAGGTCCTCACCAGCTCCTATTTTGTAGGGGAATACTTAAACTGGGTTTGATGTCTCATTGAAGGCATTGACTTATTTCTTGGGGTGAAAATATTCCATGACCTAATGTTTGGCTTTTACAGCTCGTTTTGTTAAATAAATAAAGAACAGCAACTTGCCTCCATTTGAATGGGCTAAATGAAGAAATGCCTACGTCTGGTTCCACTTAGAGAAAGGAGGACAGTTAAGGAGAAAGAGTGGAGCTTTTGTGTTCAAACTATGTGGCTGAACTTTCAGGAGGATGTGCTTATGCGCTTAAAGAGGACATTCACAATTTTACTGTTGCTCTCTGTTTTTACTTACATTCTTCTCACATTTTGTGATTAGCGTTAAGACGAATATTCTTTGTCTGTGAAGAGACATTTGAGGGCTTTCGAGCCATTCGATGGCGGTTCGTTCTTTAGCGTCTGGGATAAGAGCTGTGGCTTTTTGGTTTTTGATCACACTGAGTGAGCTTGTAGTTGCATAGATGTCGGCGCAGCTGTGCCAAAATGAGCACACTAATGACCGATTAAAACCTGAACCCTGGTGGGCCTTTGAGTTTCACACCGCAGAAATCAACCCTCTCAACTATGTGCCTGTTGTTAAAGCAAAAGCCTCTTGTTTGTTTTAAGACAGGTTAATTGCAGAACCACTGTTAGCGCCCTCTCTGAGCCGTTTTATGGCGCCGGGGTCTTGCCGTTTCCTTCCCATTATGAAGCAGTGGAAGGTCACAGTCTGTTAAGCTTCTTGTGAGAGATGCATAGAACCAAATGGATTTTTTTCTCCTCCTTTTTCATTCCCATCTCAAATCATTCTAGACATTCCAGGTGTGCAAGTGTGCACTTGAGGGGGGCTGCCATTGTTTTTCCTCGGCGCAAGCAGCGGAAGCAAAGAACGCCTCATTCGCTTTGATGAGCGATGTTTTCATGCGTGGGCTTCAATGTCACCCGCCATGAGGCAGCTGTGAAGTCGCAGCTCACGTCTGTGGTGCCATTTACTCAATGATGAAGTGGGGAGATCTCTGTTGGTTCCACATCCACCTCCCCTTTACACACACGTGTACGTGCACACACCGTCTGAGCGTGTGTTCCTCCCACCTCAACTGTATTGTGACTGTATGTCACAGCTAATACCAGCATGCATTAAATCTCAAGCTCTGTGATCACAGTGATAAAGGTTGACTGGGCGATTATGCAAGGCTTTGTCATCAGAGGGATTTGTTAACAGCTGATGGCCCCGCCGTGTGGCGCCTGCTTTCTTCTGTTTCCTCGAATTTGACTTTCACACGAAAAATAATTTGTTTGATTTAATTTTCCTCTCAGATGCACAAGATTTGTGTTGCCCCGGCGAGAAATGGCACAGATTGCCGTATAGGTGACATATTATCGTCCCTGTTGAAGTTAATTTGCCATCAAATTTGTGACTTAATTTAAGCTGCCAAAGGGAAGACGTGGGGAGTAGATTGTAACTCATAAGTATGCATTGGAAAGAGTGTTGATTAACATTGAGGGCTCGAGAGACAGACTCACTCAATGTGTATCATCTGGCCTCAGAGGCTGGCAGTGGAATTGAATGTGATATCTTGCATAACGTGTCCTTGCTTTAAGTCCTTGGTTCCAGGCTCAGGAAGAAAGGCA